TCAGCACACACAACAAATGTTAAAGGCAGAGGAGTTTTCTTCACTGTGGAGTCTGATTCTTGAGCATCTGTCTGTGATGCCTTCTCCTGTTACGGGTAGAGCGCCTGTGCTCTTACATGGCTTGAGCCATGGTGTGTAGGACTGAGTCTGTGTTGGAAATGAAGTGGAGGAAAGGGAGAAAGACCTGAGGTGAGAGGAAAAGTCAGCCTGTGAAGAGCAGAGGGAGGTCAGACAGGGGCACTCTGGCCCTGGAAGTCATGTAGAGGTGAGGGAGGTCAGACAGGGGCATTCTGGCCCTGGAAGTCATGGTAGAGGTGAGGGAGGTCAGACAGGGGCATTCTGGCCCTGGAAATCCCAGTAGATGGTCTTGGTCAAGAAGAGGTGAGAAGACTTCCTAGCAGGACTCCTGGGACCCAAACCTCGTTGTTCTTTACATAGATTCTTTATAGTGATGTCAGAACAATGTATTGCCAGACTGTAGGAGAAAAGGTGAGGTAGAGTCTAGAGAAACACATCGCCCTCTTTCATCCGCCGTCTTTCTGTGAGGATCGCCAGCAGTAAAAATGGAAGCCACACCTCTGCCATGTTTCTGTGTCCAGAGACCAACTGTAGGTTTTACTGGGTGTGCACCTTTGTGGGCGTTTCACAATGTCGTCTCTGCTCTGTGGTTTATGTTTCTCCCTGCTCTGCCACATGATCTGTTTGCACTTTATAGCCATATGTACTAGAGGTTTTTAATACATGCAATTGACATTTATTTCAACTTTATATTGCCCAGAACAATATTTTATGAGCTCAAACAAGGTTCCACAGTTCCTTTATAATACTCAAAATGCTAATTAAGTAAAAGAGCTATGCTCAAAAATTTCTTCTAGAGCTTTTCCTGGCACATTGTAAAGTTACCAATGTTAGGTACAATGAATGCTTAATACTAATAAGGGATACAACTTTTCTAGTATTTGCATAATTATTTGCATAATTATGATTGTTAGATGATATAATAATTATTAATTGGAATATATTTGGTTGGCAGAGATACATGTATATTCTAAGATCATAATGCATTTTACAGAACTGACACAAAGTAAGAATCAGTGTGCCTAGCTCTAACTGCCTCCCTTACACTCCCCCAGTCTAAACGTTGTCCCTGTGCCCACACTGCTACTCGTGGGGTGCTGCCAGTCACTTCCAGCTGGACCTATTTATAAAGGAGGCAATTCAATAAAGTTCATTTAACATGGTGCTGAGCTACAGTGTGAACCCACATCTCCTGTTTCCTGAACTCCTAACTCCTGCACTGACACTGTTTTGGTGTTTATAAGCACCCAAAGAAGAAAAACTCCGGAATCCATTGAAAAACCACCAAGGGAAACAGTGTGCTTAGAAACTGTAATTCATTAGTTTGCTAGTGAATACTGCTGATCTCTGGGTGATTTGCTTAAATTTGGGTTAAATTTGATAACACTGAGATGTCAGATTTTACTTCAGCATCTCTTGCTGTTCAACACCCGTAAAGTGCCTTGACATTTGACTAGTAAAGCTCTGAATGCAGGGCATATGGTTTCCTTCAGTTAGAAAATCGCAGAGAAGTGCTTGCAATTTAAATTAAATGATGATATTTTCTACATAAAGACATGCATGCTGTCAGTCTCAGCGTTCTGAACCACTGTTCTGAAAAGCCTTGTTAAAGTGCATGAGTCTCCCCTGGGAAGTCACACTTTAGTCTCTCATCAAGGATGAGAACTGTGGAACTGACTGTACCAGGGCTGCTAACTTGTACCATTTTGCCACTTCTTGGGGGGGAAATTTGTCAGATTAGCTTTACTTTTGGAGTCTACCTGGTGTACATGTAGGTAATGAGTTAGAAATACTTCTGCATTTGAACTGACTGAAGGACATAATGGTGAATGAATCGTTACAGAGCCTTGGTTTAACAGTAAACACCTGCATATACAAAGGAGGCTTCCTGTGTAGAGCTGACCTGATTTAGCAAGGGAAATAGTGGGCTTTAAGGAAAGGTGATTGACACTAACTGCCTGATTCTTATTTCTCTCCTCACATGCTTTTTACTAACTGAGATGAATTGTTGTGTAACTGAAATAAGCTGGGTTGGAAGATGAAGTGAGCTGTGGCTTTCCTTTGGCTATGCTAGTCTTGGATCTGGAGGAAGATGCATACCTGTGGTAGCAAAAATGCATACATTTTTCCTTTCTCTTGGACATTTGAAAAGCAGCATCAGTATTGAACAGTAGCTGGAAACAGTAGTGTTCCCATCTGGGTACAGTTTTGACTGACTGAGGAGCCAAGCACAGAGAGGTGAAGTAGCCTGATTTTGTTTTCTACTTTTCATAGGGTGTCTTTCTCATTGACTTTAGGGAACTGTTTTGTGTTGTTGGTGTAGGAAAGCTGGATAAATCGACAGATTTTGAACTGAGATGATTTTACTATGAAGGTTGACTTCATTATGGGCCCCGTTTTTTTTAGTAGACTGCCTTAACTGGATGGTAATAAGTTGTTCCACTCTCTTGAAATGTTAAGTAAAAGGAGACTGTCTTTGGGAGACTAATTTTGTGCTTTGGCTGCAAAGCTTGCAATCTTTTGGGTTTAATTTTCTTTGTTAGATGTCAAAAATGTTGAATGTATTACCTCAGGATTTTTTTTATCAAATTACAACAGTTAAATGGAGACTTTAACAGTAACTATCTACCTAGGGTTGTCTTGACTGCCTTGTGCTGAAAGAGCAAGGATGTCTCCTTCAGAGGGTGTGTCAGCAAGTCTACTATGACAAGGGCAGGAAGATGCAGTCTTATGAATAGGTAATGTAATGGCTTTACAGGACTTGCAGACTGCAGGCCAGGGGATGGCTCAGTAAAGTGCCAAGAGGGGACACTTAATAGTCTGAGTGCAGGTAATTGTAATAAGATGTGCATTGGCTATGTTAAAGAACAAAGATAAGTTTTCAAATAGGAAGATTTGGGCAGTTTACAGTAATTTCTCACCATGGTTTTTGTTATGAGAATAGAAATAACAGTGTAAATTGCTTTATTAAAAATAATACATTTCAGAAGAATTTCAGTAAGAAGGTAAGTTGTGTATTTCTCTTAAGATAGAATATTGTATGAGATTAGGTTAGCTGGAAAGTATGTCCACCTGGTAAACCAAAATGAATGCACATGCTAATACTGAGTGTGTTACTTTCTTTTCCTATTGCTGTGATTAAATATCCTAATAAAAGTAATTTAATGAGGGAGGACTTTTGTTTGGCTCACATTTCAGAGTGTAGTTCATCATGGCAGGCAAGCAGTTTCCTGATCACATGGCATCCACAGTCAGGAACAGATCATGATGGATGCATGCTGCGCAGGTCTCTATGTCCACTTCTATTGTCTAGGAACCCATCCCAGGGAATGGTGCCACCCTCAGTAGGTGGGCGTACCACTGAAGTTAATGTAATCAATATAATTTTGATAGGCAGTCTCCCAGGTAATTATAGACGATGCCAAGTTGACAGTTATTACTAATCGTTATCTTGACTGAAAATAATTGGAGCCAAGGGGCCTGAGACAAAACTGAAATAAAAAGAATGAACAGCCCTGCTCCTTAATTGTTCTTATTATAATAAGCCCGAGAAACTTCTGTTAATGTCTGACATCTTTGCATGGATTTCAAATGTCAAGCATATCTGATCACGTGTTATGAAATACGGAGTAATGGATGTATCACCAAGGGGCCCTGACCTAAGTCCCTGACTAGGGTCTCCTTCAAGCTAAGATGATGTCATTGATAAATGTGTTCTTTTACTCATTGATAGGTTATTTGGATTTCAGCATTAGTTATGATTTTAAACATTTGTGTTATGTGGGTTGCATGTCTGGAATGAAAAATCATTCATTCTTTTATATCCTTTGGTGGATTAAAATATTCATTTTGTTTTAGGTGTATGATTGTTTTACTGGCATTATGTCTATGTGTAACTTGTATAAATGCCCAAAGAGGCTAGAAGAGGGTATCACACTCTTTAAGCTGGAGTTAAAGAGGGTTGTTAGCCACCATGTGGGTGCTGAGAATTGGACCTGAATTCTCTGTAGAAGCAACAAGTCTCTGAAATCTCTCCATCTCTCCTCTGCTGGATTTCAGTAAATAACACAAGTGGAGATTGTTGCCTGTATGTTATTAAAGTGGGCCAGAGTAACCAATAATGAAGGTTCATTTCCACAGCTGAAATCCTTTGTGTTGCTTTTGCTTGCTGCTCTCTTTGGAAATCATTCTCTAGCTCCTTCTCCCCTTTATAATGCCTGAGTTCACCCAAGTGTCTTGAATTCAAGAGTGTTCTATGGATTAATTCATTCCTTCCACCTCTGCCCCTCCCTCCCTCCCTCCCTCCCTCCCTC